TCTCTCTCTGAAGATCAATAAAAGCATAAAAAAAAGAAAACATCATTCTTTATATCTGGTTTTATCATAACATGATTTTTTATGAAAAGACCACAATTTGAAGTAGACTTTATACTGATGAATACACAGTTCACTGTTTTCTGCCACAACCATTAATTTGGGCTGTTACGCTGTTGGCCTAGCTGCGTTGTTCTTAAGAACAAGTAATTCTCAGACCTGGAACTGGACACCTTTGAGGCTTCTGAGGGCTGCTGAGGTGAAATCATCATTGCAGAGCCGCAGCTCCCCCAGTTCTTCCCCAACCAGCCCCGGGCCTATTTCCTAGCTCATTCACACAACGAGGCTTTTTACAAGACCCACAAGGAAGGCCTGCACTGGGCGTAAATAAACCAGCAAACCGGTGGCCCTTTGCTCTTCGCTGCTTTACTCACTCCCTGCTGGGTAAGCAAAAACAATTTACATCATAGGAAGAATTAAATGCTTAAAAATTGTAGTTCATTTTAATATTTTTTTGTGTAGTTTCAGTTTCCATGGTGACTTGTCTTAGCCCTGTCACTCTGCCCAGCAAGCAGTTTTCCACTCAAACCCAAATCAAGTTCTTTATTTCATTATTAATGCGTTTTCCCCACTTACCTTCCTAACGCCCCTCTCCACCTCCCCTGCCCCCTTCCACTTACCTGCTTTAGGATAGGTACAGATCAGTATATCGTCGGGCTTGGCTTGGAAGTTCCAGATATGATCCCAGATGTCACAGGTGTTCGTGCTCTGAAGAATTCCCTTCACATAGCCGAAAGTCAGGCGCTCTGTTCCATCACATTTCAAATCCCCCATTTTCTTTAAGGCCATTAGTGTCAGAAATCAGAGCACTAGTCCAGCTAAAACGTGAGCTTTTAGTCAGCACAAAGCTGTGTTTTTGATACAGTACAGACAATGCAAAACTCTGACCGCAAGCCCTGCCGAGGAAGCCTGGCAGCGGCCTGATGAAGGGAAAGTGGCAGTGGGCCTGCTGCGGGCAGAGCTGGAAATGTTTAGGACTTTGGATGGGGGCGGTCCGGGCTCCAGCCTCCTCCCAGCCGGGCTGCCCCCTCCCAGGGCACTCACACGTCCTGGAGCTGTGCCACGGGCACGCAGCTCTGCTCCTTTCCTCAACTGTTTCTTCTGGGAATTTTAAGCTAAATGAAAAGTTGGAGAGAATTTGCCCTTGGAATCGCAGATTGCAACACAGAGTAACTTCCCTGAAAGGCTGAAGGGAAATTTCTGTGGCTTGTTAACAGTGAGGCCCTGGGCTGGAATCTCCCAGCAGGAATATCTAAAAGGCTCAGCCTTATTATTTTTAAAGAGTAAAACAAACAATGCAAACAAACAAAAGGCTTCCTTCCTTTTGTAGGCCACTTAATATTTCTATCTACAGGAGCCTCTTCACAGCCATTAAAACATGTATGTCTCAAAAGCAAAATGTTTGCAAAAAACGCCAGGATTACGAAAGACGGTGCCTGTGTCAGAACAACTCACTTGCTCCTTGGAGCTCACTTCCCAGGCTGGTGCCAGAGTCCTCCCAGGGCGTGTTTCCTTAAATGCCTTCGGGTTTGTTTATCCCGCTCGATCCTTACTTGGGAACATTCCTGGCTGCCGTCTGAATTTCCCTCCCCCTCCTGGTTCAACCTGGACTTCTTCTTTGCTGTCCACCTATAAGTAGGCCAAATTCGTTTTAGTGTTTAACTGCTAAGTATGATAAGGTCGCCCGCCCCATGCTTCTGTCTTTCCTTGTGATATAACAAAGAATCTCTCTGGTCCTCTCTTGCTCCTGGCACAGGCCTGCAGACCTTTAGGAGGTCACTGTAATGAGCCGTCACCTGCACCCGGGTATATGCTGATGAGGCGACTCCTGGAGGGCCCTTCCATCGTTCCAGAGCAGGGGCTGAAAGACCGAGCCTCAGCGTGATGGGGGGGCTGACCTTTCAGGCTCATCCCCACCACCAGGGAGGGGAGAGGGGCTAGAGACTGACTTCAGTCCTGTGGCCGACGATGTGATAAGACCCCAAGAAAACTCTGGACACTAAAGCATCAGTGGTTGGTGAGCACGGTGATGCTCTCGGAGGGTGACATGGCCGGATTCCACAAGGGGAGGGCACGGAAGCTGTCTGTCCTCTCCCCCGACCCTGAAGTGTGCACCTCTTCCATCTGACAGTCCCTGACCCTTATTCTCTATGATAAAGCTGGGGGTAAGTACAGTGCTTTCAGTGAGTCCCGGGAGCCATTCTAGGGAGTTCTTCCACCTCAGGGCTTCATGGGAACCCCTAGATTTATAGCTGGTTGGTCAGAATTGCAGACGATCCTGAGACTCATGGCTGGCATCTGAAGTGGGTCAGTGTGAAAGACTTTGTCCTTAACTGTGGGTCTGCACTGACTTCAGGTAGTTAGTGTCAGACCTGAATTGAATTATAGGGCACCCGGTGGTGTCAGAGATCGCTGTTTGAACCATCTCTTGCCCACAGCAACCCACAATGGCTTTAGCAGAATCCATTCTGTTCCCAGAAGGAAGGCATTTCAGTTCTTGCTTAAATCCCTTCCCACCCAAGACCTTCACAAGATCTCCCGAGGGCCTTCCTGCAGAGGCCCCTGCCGGTACCCCAAGCTAAGCCACACTTGTTCGCTCTCCCAGGGCTGCAGCCCCGGAGGCCTCTGTCTATCCTGGCAAGGGCCAGGCCCCCTCTGGTGTTGCTGGCACTGCCTTTCCTTTCCTGATATTCCCTCTGGCTCTTGCATCTGTGGTCTTCATTCAGTTCTCTGGCTTCCTTCAAATCCTCTTCACTGTCTCCCTCAAATGTCCCCTTTCTGAAGAGGGCTCCCCAAACCTCACTGTCACCCGGAGCAGTTCACTTTCCCTGCCTGTGGCACTTCTTGTTCCTTTAGAGTAGCTATCAAAATTTAGTTTTGTTTTTTAAAATTGAGGTAGCATTGGTTTATCATACAGATATGCTTCGGGTGTGCAACATTATATAATTCGGTATCTGTTTATACTACATGTGCTCCCCACCAAAAGTCTACTTTCCACTTGTCCCCATACAGTTTACCCTTCGCCAGGTTCACCCTCCTTCCACCCCCACCCCCTCTTCGAGCCACGGGTCTGTTGTCTGCCTCTATGAGTTTGTTTGTTTGCTTGTTTTATTTTTTAAATGCCCTGCATAGGAGTGAAATCATATGGCCCTTGTCTTTTTCCATCTGACTTGTTTCACCTAGCATAATATCTGCAGAGTCCATCCATGTTGTTGCGAATTTGCCTTTTTATGGCTAAGTAGTATTCCGCTGTGTGTGTGCGTGTGTGTGCACACACACGTATGTGCATATCCACATTTTCTTACCCATTTATCTGCCTATGGACACGTAGGTTGTTTCCGTATCTTAGCTATTGTAAACAATCCTGCAATGAACATAGGTGTGAATGTATCTTTTCAAATGAGTGTTTCTGTATTATTTGGATAAACATTCAGAAAAGCAATAGCTGGCCCATATGGTAGTTTTAGTCTTAATTTTTTGAGGAGTCTTCATACTGTTTTCCATAGTGGCTATACAGCAGGTCCTTGAATGACATCGTTTCGTTATGATGGTGATGAGATGCCGTAGGAACTTAACTCTTGTTTATGTCAATTGGCCTATGGTAACACTGGTTTCATTATATGTTGTTTCCCTTAAAGTCAAATAACCTATCAACGATGTTGCATGGGGACTCACCGTACTAATTTACAGCAGTGTACTTACGGTACTCCTTACAACAGTGTAAGAGTTCCTCTTCTCCACACCCTCTCCAGTTCTGCTTGTTTCTTGTCTGTTTGATGGTGGCCGTTCTAACATGTGTGAGGTGCCCCTCGTTGCGGTTTTGATTTGCGTTTCCCTAACTAGTGATGGCGAACACCTTTTCCTGTGCGTGTTGACCATCAGTGTGTCCTCTGTGAAAAATGCCTACTCAGGTCCTCTGCCCAGTTTGTAGCCAGGCTGTGTGTTTTGTTGTGCAGATGTATGCATTCTTTATATATTTTGGATATTAATCTCTTATCAGATGCATGATTTGCAAACCTCGTCTCCAGTTCAATAGGTTGCCTCTGCATTTTGTGGTTGGTTTCCTTTGCCACGCAGAAGCTTTTTAGTTTGATGCAGTCTCATGTTTAAATTTTTTTTGCTTTTGTTTTACTTGCTGTTGGAGTCAAAGCCACAAAAACATTGCTAAAACAGATTTAAGGAGTTACTGCTTATGTTTTCTTCTATTTTTTTTATTGTTCCAGGTTTTCAAGCCTTTAATTCATTTTGAGTTAATTTTTGTGTATGGTGTAAGATAGAGATCTAGTCTTATCCTTTTGATTGTGGCTGTCCAGTCTTCCTAAAGCCATTTATTGAATATCCATTGTATATTCTTGGCTCCTTTGTCATAAATTAGTTGTCCATATATATGTGCATTTATTTCTGGGCTCTTGATTTTGTTCCATTAATCCATGTGTCTGTTTTCTACCAATACCATACTGTTTTGGTTACTACAGCTTTGTAGTATAGTTTGAAATTAGAACGTGTGATATCTCTGGCTTTGTTATTTTTTTCTCAGGATTGCATGGCTACTTGGGCTCTTCTGTAGTTCCATACAAACTTTAGGATATTTTTGTTCTATTTCTGTAAAATATGCTGTTGGGATTTTGATAGGGACTTCATTGATCCAATCCATGAGCAAGCAATAACTGCCCATTCTTTTGTGTCTTCTTCAGTTCTTTCAACAATGTCTTATAGTTTTCGGTGTTCAGATCTTTTACCTCCTTGGTTAAATTTATTCCTAAGTATTTTATTCTTTTTGTTGCAATTTTAAATGGGATTTTAAAAAATTCTCTATCTAATTTTCTATTGTTGGTGTATAAAAACACAGCAGATTTTTTTGTATTGATTTCATAGCCTGCAAGTTTATTGTATGTGTTCATTAGTTCTAAGAGTATTTTTGTGCGGAGTCTTTAGGGTTTTCTCATATAAATTTATGTTGCCTGCAAATAGTCATCCACAGATAAATTTCATGTTTTTTTTCCAATTGGATAACTTTTGTTTTGTTTTTTTTTTCTTGCCTGATTGCTCTAGCTTGGACTTCCAATAGCATGTTAAATAGTAGTGGTGAGGGGGGGCATTTCTTCCTTGCTCCTGATTTCAGAGGGACAGCTTTTCAGTTTTCTACCACTGAGCATGGTACTCACTGTGGGTCTGTCACCTGTGGCCTTTATTACCTTGTACATTCCTTCTATACCTATTGTGTTGAGTTTTTTAAAAATCATAAATGTATGCTCAATCTTATAAAATGCTTTTTCTGTATATATGAAGATGATCATATGATTTTTCTTGTTCCTTTTGTTGACGTGGTGTATCACCTTGCTTCAGTTGCAGGTATTGCATGATCTTTGCGTTGCTGTCCCATCACGCCCACTTGATCATGCGGCATGATCCTTCTAACGTACTGTATTCAGTTTACTAATATTTTGTTGAGAATTTTTGAAGCTACGTTTATCAGACATATTGGCCTATAATTATTTTTCCTGTTTTCCTTATCTGGACTTGTAAAATGAATTAGGAAAAAGAGTTCCTGCGTCTTTGAGGCTTTTTTTTAAGTATTAAATCTTCTTTAAATATTTGTTGGAATTCACCAGTGAAGCTGTCTGGTCCTAGACTTTTGATTTTGGGGAGGTTTTTGATTACTCTTTCAATCTCCTTGATAGTGAACAGTCTATTCAGGTTTTCTATTTTTTTCATGATTCAATCTTGGAAGGTTGTATGATTTTAATAATGTATTTATTTTCTCTATATTTTCTACGTTGTTGGTTTATAGTAGTCTCTTATGATCCTTTGTATTTCTGTGGTATCCCCTTTCATTTCTGATTTTAGTTATGTGAGTCTTCTCTCTTTATTTCTTAGTGAGTAGCTAAAGGTTTATCAATTTTATGTTTTCAAAAAAAACAGCTCTTAGTTTCATTGATCTTTTCTATTGTCTTCTAAGTTTCTATTTCATTTATTTCTGCTCTTGGA